TTGGAAAGTTGGAGCAATCGCGGAGGTAGCACAAGAGTTTTCGGGAAAATTGTTGGCGTGGATGGATACCGGAGATGCACTTTCAGAAAAATTTTTCGCGGGTTTACGGAATTGGTTGAATAAATCGGGTGGATTCATTTCAGTCAAATCTGGTGATAATACCATGTCCGATTGGACTCATAAGGGTGTTTTCGAGTACTTTAAAGACGATCATAGGTTATATGATGATTTACCAAATTGTAGTAGTGGGGTCGTGGTGTTTGATATGGATGTGAATCGAAGGGTAATTGATGAGTGGTATAAATGTGCATTAAATAAAGAATGCATAGCTCCAAGTGGTAGTAGTCGACTAAATCACCGCCAAGATCAGGCTATAATAACTTACTTACTTGCGAGAAGAGGAATTTATTGTAACGTAACAAAAGAAGAACTTGGCGTTGAGATTCATTTAGACAAGACATGTAAAGAATATAATAAAAAATATGAAAGAAAATACGGTTTAGATCATATTGTTTGAACAATATAATAATTTATAGGCATGTTACTTTTAAATATTTTATTTATTTTCATACATGTATATTTTTGTCGTGGCGAAGATTTTTTTTTATCCATTTCAATTTATATTTTATACTATTTTTTTTACAAAGGACTTATATTGTCACATATATTTTTACAAAAGTTTTCTTATCTTTTTGGATTTCATTTTATATTTTTCAATTTTTTATCATTCAAAATATTTTTCCTTTTTTTTCATTTTATAATAAAAATATTTTTGTTTTTTATTGTATTTATTTTTTTTGATAAGGTTTTATCGGTTGATGATATTATTATAGTTATTATAGTTTGGCATTTCATGAAGATTATTTAGATTATTTGAAAATTTGAAACTTTTTATTTGAATTTTTATATTTACATTATTACACATACTGTATTATCTTTCTTATTTTAACAATAACAAAAATTTGAATGATGAAATATATGAAATTAAAAATTAAAAAACAAAAAAAAATTGAAGAAAATATATATATTTTTGTAAATAATTTACCATCATGAAAATGAAAAATGAGTATGTTGTATAACGAAAGTGTTTTGTGAAAAAGAATCATATAATAATATACATTCTCATAGCACGTTTTGGGCAATCTTTTAACAATTCCTGGTTTTTTAAATATCTAAAATAATAATTAAGAATAATATCATTAATAGTTTTGAGATTGTATATATAAAATTCACAATGAATTGATTCTTTCTATAATAAGAATCATTTGCAAAATTTAGAACATCTTAAATAAGTCACACAAAAAATAATTGAATCATTGTTAAAATGGACTTTCTTAAAAATTTATAAAGAGACTTGTATCCAGAAACTTAAACAAAAATACTAAAGATGTAATGAATCTACTAATTCATTATTGAAAATAAATATCAACAAATATTTATTAGTGAAGTTTGTGGTTTATAATTAAATTATTTTACAAGACTTGCTTGTATCTTTATTATTCATATGTTATATTTATATAAAAATACATATTTAGTGTTACATAATATAAATATATAATAAAAAATATCTTAGGTTTTACAAGACCAATCCAGATCACTACATATGATAATATAATAAATAAAATAAAATAAAGAATAAAATAAAATAGAAATGAAATGAATAACACATGAGATTACTACATTGTAAATCTAAAGATAATCTCATATGCTATTGTGGTAACACAAATCAGTAATCAGGTGAAATGTCACGGGGAATGATAATTTGTGGTGCTAGATAAACATTCAGGTAATTGTTATCCTGTGTGAGATGACTGTATGAAGAATGAAGGATGACGCATAAAGGATGAAGGATGAAGGATGATGCATAAAGGATGAAGGATGAAGTACAAAGATAAAGGATAAAGTGTAAATAAAAGAGAAAGTATAAATATGACTGTTGTCAAGTGTAAGTTTAGGAAATCAAGAGATTGTACCAGTTAGTTAATTAATTAATACTTAATATTATGGAATAATTCAAAATATTTTAATTATTATTAAATAGAAAAGTAAACTTACTTTAGGGATGGTAAAATAGACATCCTAACACATGATAATATTTCTGTTGCTGAATTATACTTTACTTTTAAAAACTTTATATTTTATATTTTAATAAATTTATATCTTGTGTTATAATATTGTGAAATATTATTAAATATTACTTGATATTGTGTTAATTGCTTTTACTCCACCTTACTCACTGTACTTTTATGATTAATTGATTATTATTTGATTATTATTATTATTTATAATATATTTATTATCTGTTTTGAGATAGGCCAGTTAAATCAATTGTATTAGCTATGACCTACTGGCAGATAGAATGTATTATTATATTTGTGTAATGTAAACTTTGAGACTGATTTGAGAAATTATTTGAAATACTTTGCACAAGTGTGACACTATCATTAATTATCAGAATAAAAAGATAAAAATAAAAAGAAATAAATAAATAAAATAAAATAAGAAGGTAAGCGTAATTACATAAAATACTGTATTAAGGATATAGTAACAAAAACTGTTACAAAAGAGATGTTCCTATTATCAAGGATGTTATTTTAACAAGCATGTAGAAATTTCAGATTCAATTGAGAACTGCTGAAAAGAAAGAATAGATCAGCTTTTAAAAAGAAAAAAAAGAAAATGATATTGAAAAAAAAATTAAAAACACCAACCTGCCAAAAATATCCAGGTAACTATTTTTTTATCAAATTTATCAAAAAAATTCAAGGGCAAATTGTGACACAAGGAATTGTTTAAATTGTGTAAATTTTTTTTTTAAAATGATCCCCTGATCAATAGCTATCATATGATATTCTTTCTGTTAAAATTGGATACTTGCTTGAACAGAAATCTTGTCTTAAATAAAGTTATCCAAAATTGTAAATCAAATTATTAATCATAATGTAGTATAATATATCTTATAAGAACTTGTAGCCCTAAACTAAGTCTACAATATTTATTAATATCATATTTGCTGTTTTCTAGTTAAGATCAGAACTTTACTTAGACATGACTAAAAAATGATCAAAATTATTATTGATCATTTTGTTATTTCAGGAAAATTATCAATAATTTCTACATAGCTATATCAACAATAAAATAGAAGCATTTACAGATGGGTTATATATAAAAAAGAAAATTCCAGGAAATTTAATAGGACAATATAAAAAATCAACAGTAATGGGATATGGTATAGTAATAGAAATAAAAGAACTAAATAAAAAAAAAATCTTAGTATTCAAAGGAGTAACACAAGAACCATTATCATCAACCAGAGCTGAACTAATGTTGATAGCAGTTTTACTAGATATATCTCCAGAAAAAAAAATAATAAAGATAAATATAGACTCAAATGTTGCAATAGCTACAATAAATGGATACAGAGATTTAAGAAAAAGAAAAAAAAGAAAATAATATAAAAACCCATATATATTGCAAATAATAGAAGAACTAATAGTTAAAAAAGAAATAAAAATAGAACTACTAAAAATTAAAGCTTACTCAGGAATAAAATTAAATAAAAAAGCAAACCAATTATAAAAGAAGGAGGAAATGAAATGGAAAAAACAAAAATAAATCTAGAACAATTAAACATAATAAAATACTTTAATACAGTAAAACAAGAAGTCCTGAATATGCCATTACAAGAATACATGAAAGAAATGAAAATGCTGTACAGAACAACTACAACACTATCGAAAGCAATAAGAACAGCAACAGACTGAAAACAAATAAAAGAAACACTAATGTACTTAACACTGGTCGAAAATTGATAAAATATACACATATCAGGTATCCAATATGTGCATGGTGTATCCCTAATATCGGGCATATATTGGGTACCCGATAGGTGTAAAAAATATTTTATATCTATATCGGGTACCCGATAAGTGTAAAAAAATATTTTCTACACTTATCGGGTACCCGTTATATGTTCGATATTAGGGACACACCATGCATATATCGGGTACCCGATATGTGTATGTTTTATTAATTTTCGACCAGTGTAAGAATCACAGATAGCAAAATATAACAAGAAGACCAAAAGTATAGAACATTTAAAATAAAACTCTTAATAAAAGAATTACTTACAAAAAAACTAATGCATGAATGATACCCTCAACTGTATCAAAATTCAAAATGCATTAAATATAATAATCACGAAGAAATATCAATATACACTCTAACATGTTCAAATGAAATTAAAAAACTTCAAAGAGAATTCTTTACAATAGTAAGGAAAAAAATACAAAAAGTACACAACTACTCAAAATTACATGAATTAATTGAAAAAGAATTCAAAAACCACAGTGACTATCAAATAGACTACAATAGAGTAAACACAGTAAAAACAAATGAATACTCAACTTTTTCTTTTATAGATATAATAAGAAATATAATATCATAATTTCTTAAAAAAAAATTAAAAAAAATTATGAAAAAAGAAACAAAAGAAATAGAAAAAATAATAAAAATATAATTTAAGAATTTATAAAAAAAATATATAAAAAATAGCTAAAACGATGTGAAGCAATAAATAAGTAGGAAGAAAATAATAATAAAACAGTTGAAATAAAATGTAATACAAAAGCACAGTACATAAGAAATGAGGAAAATTACAAAAAAATTAAAAAAAATTAGAAATATGCAAACCTAAAGTAATAGAAGCATCATTAGAAAACTTATTAAATGTAACAAATACTTCTTTTTCATATATTTTGTCTTCTTTATTTTTAAGCTTAGATATTAGTGGGACCGTGGTAATAGAAACCTACTAATTTTAAAAGTAAACCTTAGTTTATTTTCAACGGTGATAGGTTAATCAATAGATTTAGTCTTAAATAGTTTTATTTTTTCATTTATAATTTTATATACAATTTAAATAAAATAAAGTGAGACCGCATCGATTACTCAAATCAAATCAAATCAAATCAATAATTTCTACATATAAACATTTTTTGTAACAATAAAATCTTAAAAATAATACTAAGTAATCTTAAAGAGAAAATTATTGTGCATTTACTATAAAGGTTTTAGAGCTATATCATGAGAATATAGTGAATAATCACTAATTAAACTTTAAGGAATAATTGTTAATCTTTCTTTTAATTCTTATAATATAAGTTTGCAAACTTTATAATATATGTAAAACAATATTATCTTCAAGGCTACTTAGTATTACTTTTAGTTTATTTTTTTTTTTTTAATTATCAGAGTCTTGTTAGACACTTTATTAAATAAAATAAATGTTGAATTTACATATTGTATTTTAACTACCTACTCTAAACTAAATTGTTACTATTTAATCTAGATGACAGGTTAACCCATTAACACCCACAAAGTGAAAATTGATGGTCAAAACTTCATTAATTAATATAATTATAATAATATTTATAGAAAAGAACATTTTTATACATAGTTAATAAGTTATGTGAAGTTATTACATATTTGAGAGAAGAAGTGTATAGTTGTTTATAT